CGCAAATATTGGTCTGTGTGGGTGGGCTTACGATATACGCCAGTTTCCAACCGTCCTCCATCCGAAACCGAAGCCTGAATTTTGCCTGAAACTCTCAGACTGAAGAAGTCTCTTAGAGGAGAGACGAAACGTTTCATTGGAGAAGAACCCGTCCAGAAGACCTATACATTTTTTTTCTTTTTGTCCTCTTTAGCTGCTCAAATGATTTCAAGTATATGTTTTCAGTTTAGTCTGACAGATCCTCAGTTTGTAGTTGGCCTCACATTCACTCATTTCTGCCAAAGTWATAAACAAGCAGAAAACAAGGTTTTCTGTTCCTCTTTTAACTTGCTTTTGTGTTTTCATTTACTTTAACTATGCTTTTATATCATCACGCCGTCCTAACCCTTTTCATTTTTTGAGCACTTGGAATTGCATTGCAGTTGAAAGGATCCATTTAAATGAAATTGCTCTGCTGTAAATACTTTATATGTATAAATTGGAATGCAGAGGTTAGAGTCATTGAGCTGCTGGCAGTAAAAGCACTCAGTTTCCAGACAGAGGATAAAGTGTAACTGATAATAAAATTATCTGAACAGCTGCGCCATTTGAAACATGTGGATTAGTTTTAAACTGTATCAAACTATTTCTCTTTAATAATCATGAAATGATTCACATATTGTTGGAGAAACATTTCAAACAGACTACATTAACATCTCTCCCAGCCTTACTGCTCTGTGTTTTCCTGCACTTTCACTCCCTGTCTGAGCACTTGGACCAKCTTCGATTCATCCCTGTCACTGGGTTTTAGAGCCATTAGCCTAATTACAGAGTGGACACTAAATTCACTGTTAGATGTCTTGATGCGTTGGCTGCCTTTCAAGCATCTAACCTATGGTTCAATTCATGAACTATCATCCAGATACTATTTGTTTTACTGCATGGGCCTTCGTTCWCCATGCCTGCACGCTGCTGATTACATTACTGTCGCATAAATGGTGCTGACAGAGYTGCAAAAAACTGATAGGGACTTTAGTAGTTTTAATAAAAGTATTATCATTTTGCAATCATTGTGTGATTTAGCATGCATGTGACTCAGCAAAGGGCATAAAAAATACTACAAATAAATGGAGCTAAGTGAAGGTGAGGGTCTAACTGTGGCAAATTGTTTCAGCTCCGGTGAAGCTGCAGAAACCTCCCCACCGACGGCAACTGGACCAGAAAAAAAAAATCATTTAGCTGAAGGGGCTGCATTTGCTAAATAAAAGCAATTCATCATCCTGTCAGTGCTTGTAGTAAACACACCCTATGCACTTTTTTCTTGGACTGTAACACAGGACTGCCTACATTAAAGTGATAATTCCAGTATTTTGAAGTGGGGTTCTGTATAAATGTTAGGAATAGTTGTTTAAATGCAGTGGTGGGCACCAGCCCGCTAAAGCGCAAATGCACTAATTGCAGACCTAAATATTTTATTGCGCTTAAGCGGTCTTACTAACTTTTATAATTCACAAGCGGATTTGTGCTTTCTGAAATTAAAATGCAGTACTGATAATAACTAATTATTTACCAGTCATCATTATCATGATTAGTGGAAGGTACGACTGTCAATGATTCACAACACACGTGATCTATCCAACAGCACCCCTTCCAGATAAACACGCTTATTGGAAAGGTATACGTCTTTGTAGACAGTTGCTTTGGGTCAGGGTTCTCATTTCCCACAATGCTTTGTGTCTGCTTACATAGCAGGAAGACAATGTTTAGAACTCCCTATCCCAGCAAAAACAGTCAACGTTTGTAATCCATACTAAAATTTTGTATGTATTGATTTATTTTACTTCACAATCGGAGCTCCTTTTTTTAAAAAAAAAAAAAGTTTAAACGCTGGAGCTCAATACTTGATGTAATTGGTCGAAGCAACGGGGTTAGAGAAATGATTTAAAGATGTTATGCTGATGAAGACTGGCATCTAGTGGTCATCTGGAGCAACTACATGGAAAACTTTAAAATCCAAGCTCTTATTTTGAAGGCAAGATAGTTTCCTGAACTCCGTGCTTTCGTTTCGCCTCACAAATCAAATCCATCATGTACCCAGAATGCATCTCTTCAGTTTTCTGATAAACAGTTTTAAAATTACTTTATTGATGCTTCTTTACTGAAAAATCTACAACAAACAAACAAACAAACAAAAAGACAAAGAAGCAGACGAACTAGCAATCCCCAACAACTTTTCAATTTTTACACCAGGAACTTAAGGTCTGTTTCAGGAAATCACATCCCCAGCAATCGGCGGTTGGAAGATTAAGCTGTAAAAGGATTCATACACCACTAGTTGGCAGTGTTGTGCATATATTGTACATGAATAGTTGCCAGCTAGTAAGTGTCAAATTGAACTTGTGCTTTAAAATTAGCTTCCGCTAGTTTTTCTAAGGCATAAGCGCTTATGAGGTTGGGAACCTAAATATTTACATAAGCGCTTTAGAAATTGCGCAGCTAATTTTTGGATTAGCGCTATCCACCACTGTTTAAATGTTTAAAAGTTAGTGTTGGTGTACGGCACTTTGAAAGTTGCCATAACTCTGGTCTTCTTGGTTTTACTAGTCGTCAGCTTGTTAGCGTGTTTTTTATTTAAGTCATAATTAAGTCATAAAAAAGGTGAAGTCATTAAACTGTTAATGAACCAGTGGACAGATCTGAATGAAACTCCTGTCCATTCAGTGTGCAGCTGTGACTTGGTGCACTCGGGTTTCTTCCACCACTCGGGGGAGTACATCTGCACCGAGGACTACCAGCGGCTCTACGGGACCCAGTGTGACAGCTGTGACCAGTACATCACCGGAGAGGTGGTCTCGGCCCTGGGGAGGACGTACCACCCGCAGTGTTTTGTCTGCAGCATCTGCAGGTATCTGGCAGGGCTGTTTTGTGTGGATCTCTGCATCGAAACGTGCTTTTATTTATTCGACTGTTTGTGTTTTGTGTGTCTGTTCTCAGGTGTCCGTTCCCGATCGGAGACAGAGTGACCTTCTGTGGGAAAAAGTGCGTGTGTCAGCAGTGCTCGCGCTCTCTGAAACGCGACAAGCCTGTTAAGGTCCACGGGCCGAGCTGTAAGAAACAAACACACACTCAGTAATGTATGTTCACAAATACACACGCATATTTGCTGTAATACACTTTAGTGGAGCGCATAACATGTTGAATGGATTTCCTAGTGTAAAGGAACAAAACAGGGGAGGTAGTTATCATTTCAGAAAACATAAAATGAGCTGATTATTTATATTTTAGAGCAGAAGAGCCGTTCAGACGATCAAATCTTTTGAACGGCTCTTTACAACGAACGATAGGAGCTGAATTGCAGGCAATAATGAGCCTTTGTAGTTTTATTTTTTTATTCCTTGTATAATCTTGATTTTTTTCATCCTTAAATCGCTCCTGCTTTGCTTTTTCGGAGAAAAAAGGCAGAGCGGTGGAGTACAGAAGCTAAAAGGGAAAGGGGGAGGGTTTCCACTTGACAAGACACGTGGTTCCACCCACGTGAGGACATCATTGCGTCACGTAATGATGTAACTCGTTCAAAATCGAACAGCTCATTTGAACGGCTCTATGAAACAAACGGCTCCTCAAGATCAGGATCCCTTTAAAGAGACRTTTATCTCTATGTCATATAGAAACACTGTATTTCCACTTAATTGTTGACCCAATGACTATATAAGGGGCTGTAGTGCAGATAGTTTTCACTCATGGCCCTGACTTTATCTCTGAATTATATTAAGATTAGACATGACATAAAAGTAACTACAATAAACATTTAGATTAGATTTGCATGCTTTATAACAGGGGTTCTCAAGCCATTTGAGTCTGGGGACCCCTTACAAGGGCGAAAAAAATTCCAGGGACCCCCTCATAAACCAAAGGCTGTTTTAAAAGATAATTTATTGTCATTTCAACCCCTAAATGCCATGGGAATATATATATTTTACTAAGTTTATTATGTTTGTTTTATTAGTTCATTGTTCTCCATGCATTTTTAAAAAATAAAAACCAAATTAACATTTTAGTAAAAATTTTTGAGGACCCCCGATATACCTCTTGCGGACCCCTGGGGGTCCAGGGACACCAGTTTGAGAACCTTTCCTTTATAAGACCACACTGCCAAAGTGGACGTCAAACTTTCYCCAAATTGAATGAATGAATGAATGAATTTATTTGGTCACATTAAAGAACACTCCGCACAAAAACAAACACAACTTTAACCCTATATAAGCAAACAGGTAGAGGCAGAAGCTTGTTATGCCTCACCTTACAATTCATAAAGGATTCCCCAAAACAAAATACACAAAAAACACACATATACTTCAACTACATCCTGGTTATACAGTATGCAAATCATTAATACAGTTTTTTTAATCAACAATATCATTGTTATTGTCCGTACTTGCCAAAAAATATGTTATATATTACCACCACCATCATAACAAATGACTACAATAAACCATAACTCATAATTAATTTCCTTTTTAACTTCAACTCAAATTCACAGGCGAAAAT